CGTGTCATGTTCGAATTAGTGAGCACACAGCGAAGAGCACCTCATTCTTATTATTAGGATTACCTTCGTCAATGTTCCCGAAAATGAACGCAAGGGATATGATATCAAGTAGATCGCGCAGACCACCTACAAGACGAATTGGGTGGTAGCGCGGTGACCTGCACGGTCTGAACTGTGTCGATTGCGTACCTGCCGCGCAGCGGCCTTGCCCTCCGACCTTTTCGTTGATGTCCTATCGCCTGTTCTTGAATGTATCAAAGGTTAAGAACTGATGAGAATGACCAGAAATGTGAGTAAATTACTCTGTATTTCTAGCAATAGGCTATAGCGCAAATTTCCCCAACATTTCCCCTTAATGACTTATTCACCATGAGATTATCTTGTTTTGGACGAAAACCCAGCGGAAAAAGCGTCTTAGCAAGTCGATTAATCTTTGTACACACATGAAATAATAGGAAATGGTAGCGTGCGAAAATGAGGTTGTTTTGCAACTTTACTAATTTCTTGATAATTTCATTACTGGTCTTGTTGTTGACTTTGAAAGATGTGTGCAATAATTTCAGATTTGGGACCACCAAAATGGCACCTCGCTCGACGTCATTTCGTCGCCGCCTTGGCTTTACTGGGATTTGCCAACATTTATGCAATGCGCGCGAATTTGAGTGTTGCCATCGTTGAAATGACTTCTGGCACGAATAAGGATGTGAATGGAACAAGTATACATGTGAGTATTTATAACGGGGGTTTATTGATGCTAATTGGGTTGCCAGAGAATGGACTTCATGCCTAATTGGAACATATAACGAAAAAAGCAAGTTACCCTAAATATCCATTTACTATAAAACAGCGCACTTTGGAGACCCCACCGAGTAATTGGTATTCAAATTTGTAAAATGATGTCGATCAAATCACAAAGCTTGTCGACCTGAGTTTGCTTCAAAATTACTGTTTAGCAAAGTTAGTGGTTTGAAGCCAATCTGTAAGGTCTTTCCATATTTAGAAGAGCATTTTGTCTAGGTTTCGCTACCCAGGCTTTATTGACTACCGTTTTCTTCCCTCCAAGCCACATGTTTTTTACCCCCTCAGAGCCTCAAAGGGCACATCATTTTTTTCGTAAGCAAGTGCAAGGATGTTGGCTTTGAGCGTCGGATTTTATACTAACTGAAGTCCTACTATCGCGTAAGGGTATGGCTTGATTATTTCAAGAGGTTTCTGCTTTTTTAAATTCTGACAAAAAAATCGGTT